TAGTTTTAACGATATTATATGTCTCATTTATAATAGTTCAGTGGACAGCATCCGGTGCCGTACAATACCTTTGTCGATGTTGTTAGATAAATGAAGTGCAATGTGTATGGTGCAGAATTGTCAATATGACTCATTTTCAATCAGCCAATACGCTAAACTTATACAGAGCAGACTTTGGAACTTTTTGGTTTGACGTCAGTGGGTTCTGCCAGCGTGAGGATCTGAATAAAAAATTTTATGGCTTTCAGCAACGTCAAATACGGTAATCAATAATTTTTTGCTTCAAAAAATCCACAATATTTGTCAAACGTTTAGTTACGAACCTGCTTTCTACTGAACTTGGTTTCTGTGGTAATTTTTCATTTGCCCAAATTACACCAAATATTTTAATTTTAATCGTTTTATTTAACAGCTGCAGGCGCATAAGACAATTATACCTATTACGACCAACTGCGCAAAACAGCCCTTACAAATAGTAGAAAAAGGCTAAAAAGCCTTCTGATTTTTCTGAATCTTCTGATTGTTCCAAGGATAGTTTTTTTGTGGTGAACCAGCAGCGAACAAATTGGAACCAAATAAAGCTTCAGGTTTAGAAGACATGACACAGACTTTACCACGTATTGGGTAGTTACAGGCGAATCTGGGGGACTTAAATCAAGCAAATGATCTGAATGATGCAAACGTTTCGAAAACGGAGATAGATGAAGACCAACGAGGAGGTAACCAGATAGCAAGGCCCAAAAAACAAATTCATTACCACAATCGAAGGGGCCTTTTACGAAAGCAGAGTTCGTAGCCTAAGGACTTTGTCAGATAAAACTAGCATCTTACATGAAACATATTGCAGAATTATAACTCAAATACAGAAAATGCGGACACTTAGTAAAAATGGGGCCTTCATAAATTAACTAATAGCTAGAAATGTGTGTGGCGTAATTCACGTAGAATTTACGCGCACTTAGAGCACGCAGTCACTATAGACGAAGCATAGGATGGCGTCACCCTCGATAGAAATCGAGTTCCGTAGATGTAAGGTGATTGCAAAATTTGCCATGGACATCAAAACCACCTGCGGTTATGATAAACTCATGGGAAGTGGAACAGTAAAGCTGAGCGTGTATCTCGTTATTTCAAGTTCCTCAAGAAATTCATGGATACACTAAACCTCATTGCCATGCCCCAATTATTCCTGAATTGAATAAGGGAATATCTAAAAATGGCTTTAACTTACTCATTCTTTCGATCTAACTCCGTGTAATTACCGGGCTTTCTGTGAGCCAGCAGATTTCACTATCGACTATTTTGATGTATAGCTGTATAGGAGTTGCTAGAGTGCTAGGTATATAGGAAAATAAGGAAAAGTACCCCTAAGTCGGAGGGATTCACTTGCAACAGGTATGATTATATTATATATATATTAAATCCAAAAAAGTATATTAAGCCCTATCATAAGCGATACTGTGTGGTAATTATGTGAGCAACCTGAACCGCATGTTTGTGCTGTCAATCGGCTCGTGGACCACTGGACGATTATCGATAAAAGCAAAAAGGAGAGGCTTTGAAATACAACGTAAAGAGGAGTACTAAACATAACAAAGTATTTCTAGCGTAAAAGAGTCCTGAGTACTGCTATGGCTTAGAAGAAGGAACGTATTAGACAAAGATGTTAATATTAGCAGCGAAGCTGGTGCTGGTAATTTTGCAGATGACGTTAATTTCAGTATCTGAATAACTCTCGTGGGAGTATGGTTGGCCGCCCGACTGTGTTTATTCGTATGCATGTGCGTGCGAGATATCTGAGTCTATGAGTTATCATAATTGTTTTTATGTCTGCCTATTGACACGATCGTGATAGATGCGTCCCCATCATCGACTGGCCAGTCACAGACAGCTGCTTCAATCACTTCTGTGAATATATCGAAGTCGCTCGTCGATTACATCCACGGATACGTTACCTATATTCCAGGAAAATGACCGACGCCGGCTGGTAGACACAAACGGCTAATTTACCGTTGAAGTAGGCATCGCAATCAACTTCTTTACTTCTTCGCCTTTATACACAGTCGGTCGTAACCCGCTACGATATATATACGCCGGGTAGCCAGTGCGAGCGAGTTAATGATTGTTGTTCACCAGTTAACTTACGTAGAAAGCGTTCTTTCTACTTCGACACGACGAAGCTGTAATTTGGTCGCACGGTTCGATAGTCTCACCCGTTTCGTGTGTGTGTTTGCAGTTCTTATCTGCTTGGGCGCTTAGATGGAAGAGCAGCGCGTCGAGCCTCCATCAACGGTGGGCATCGTTGACTATCCCAAGAGTACTTACAGCAAGGAGTTTATAAAAGAACTGCCGCCGTCAAGGCGGACTCGCGAATCCTCGCGCATAGGCGCACAACGACGCGCAACACAGGATTCAACCTTGGCTGTGGTCAACAAGGCACATCTGACGGCGAATTTGCCAACAGATATTTAAACAATGAGTCACCACTATGGAATTATACAAAACTAATATACTACGGAAGGCGGCAATAAAGGAGAATATAGAAGAGATCGACTCGACTGAACATGTGATTGATGAAGATTGGATACGACGGTGAATCGGAGTGAGTGACAGAAATCAAATGGAACGGTGAAGCTAGGCAGTGAATAACACAGCTGTATAGTATTCAGTTGACACTATTAATAAGCACTGTGCATTTTTCATATATAATACTTAGACGGGTAATTTGTTGACACTTCAAGTGATTCTTCAACATCAATAACTACTCCGCAAGTTAACCGGCTTATAATTTGCGTTCAGCAATAACATCATTATAAAGTCACATCACATCATCGATATCACCGTCAACAACAAAACTGCATTAACTTAGGACTGTCAGATGGATTACTCAATCATCGCAGTAGGGAATAGACCAACAACATATTGGCGTAAAGAAGCTAATCAGCTCTCTGATTTTCTTATGTTATGTCAGGGTCGATCGTAGTAATACTGTGTACCAGTATATACAGTTCATGTCTTGTTTGATTGCCCTGCTCTGCTCTTAGCACACCCGCACGTCATAGGTCTAGCTCTTGCGCACGCACAGCTATTACGTACTCCTATCTACAAGAGACTACAGATGATTTCAACGCTTACCATTTGATTACGATAATGTCTCGTTTTTTTCGAGAACTGTAACGTTTGGCAGTTACTACTTCGCGATTCTTCAACAGCTTCTGCTTGATTTTTTTATATTTTTTCTTCAATTTACCCAACAGAGATAAACTCATCATTAACGCTCAAGAATATTGGTCTTTCATGGTAAGCACTAATGCAGCGGCCCGTGTTTCGCATGATGTTGCTTAAAATTTCGACTGTTTTGACTACAAGATCTATGTATGTACAGGAGGATGAATGTACTTTCTCAGATGGGAGCTACAGCTGAATATGATCAATGATTCCATATCTATTTATTTCCAATGTTAGTGAAATTATTACAAATTTTCTAAATAAATTTCGACAGTTCCAAATCCAATTTTCCCTCTAACACCGCTAAGCCCACTCTCACGAGCTGGCGGCGTTTTTGGCATCATGATTAGTCGAGCAATTAGGGATTAAAAGAACACTTAATCTCTATCACTCAAGATCTCGAAATAATAAACTGTCTGATGTTTAAAGGACAGTAATGACTGTAATGAGATGCGGACACTATGTATGTGAATATATTTCGCAGATTTTAAACTGTTCAAGTGCTTCTTTTTCTTTTATTTGGATTATCCACCTGTAGTTGTCTCTATTAGCCACTGCTGCCGTAGCGGCCACGCAAGTACGCAGCCTTCCTGTTTACCTGACACTTCGTTTCATTCAGTAACGGTCTTAGCAGCTGATAATGATGATTCATCCGTAGCAGTCAGCCAATTACAAAACGCCTACATGATAAACGAAATCCGGCCGTAACAACGGCGATCACGACGCCTGTCGTTGTTGCTCTATTTCCTACTGCTGTCGTTCTTATTGCTGATCTGCTGTGACAAGCCAATGCCAAGGGTCGACTGCTACCGACATTACTACCGCATTACAGCCTACATGGTGTCTACGTGACGCCCGTACGTACGACGGACCATTGCCGGGTTAGCTTAAGTACCAGCTGCCGGTTTTCTGATCTCTGACAAGGCAACACTCAATACACACGACATTGAACTGCATAGATTATCACTGGACCGCGTTAAACACTACGCACATTTATGAATATGTGTGTGTGTCTCAGTTCAGCAGGTGGAAAAAGACGAACCAGCCGAGCAATGAGGATAGATCAATGCCGAAGAGAAGTAAGAGCTTTAGTAGCAAAAGCAACGACACAGGAAAGGATACTGATGTCGTGCGGACAGTGAGGGAATAGCCGTCGCCTAACTACATAGCTTGAAACAACGCAACATTTATATCGGTGTGCATTTATATAGGTGTACATGCTATTTAATATATATACGCACGTAAATACAAGAATCGTCATTGTATGATGAAAGGGGGCGAACAGCACGTCAAATGGCATTTGTTTACAGGCGTTAAAAAGATCAATGTAATATATTCCGCAATCTTAGCAGGATAAAAGCTCTTAAGAATACCAATTGCGATTAAGTAAAACCAACGGCCAGTTGTTTGCTACAGAATATTTCAGTTAAGACGTTTTTCAATGCACGTCCAAAAAAAATCCGCTCCGCACACTGAGAAACCACGACATACTACTGGAACGAGTCAAATTGCTTGTAGGACGATCGAGACGCGCGAAAAGTCTGGCTTGCCCTGTCTCGTCATTTCCGTTGACAAATACTGACCAATGCTGATCGGTTACATAACTCTGTGTTTGGAAAGCGGCGCAAGTAGATTTAACATTCTTACGAGACATTGAAACAGAAATTCCAATGGCATATCACAACCGCGTGGTAATTTCTACGATGTTTGTTTCATCTATTTGTAACTGCAAATACAGCTCAGACAGGTGTTATCATAATTCTAATACTTACTGAATGAAGCCATATCTGTCAATTTTCGCGGCCTCGTCGTACGAGGGGTCTTCCCAGGGCAGTATGTGCTCGGAATCCTTTAACCAGCCCTTATCATATTTGGCGACGATCTCACTTCGTTCCGCCGCCACCTGACGTTCAGTCTCGGATTCAGAGTCCGACGACATCGGAGACCTCCCTTTGTAGGACTTCCTTTTGTCTACCCTACCGGGAGACACTTGGAGTCAGTCCTATACGAACTCCAGCTCAACCACACTCAAAAATCCAATCTCAGGTTTGGGCCGCGGATATCAGAAACGCAGGCAGAGGCTCACATGCAGTTGAGGTTCTTCTGCACTAGATCTGACACCGAAAGTTTGATAAACAAACTATCCATAAAGGTGGACGTGATGCTGCCACTACACTGAATATCCCGGTAGTAAAAGTATGTGAAATTTGATGACACTGAACCGAGATTGGAATATCCAGTTATTAATGTTACCTTTCGTCGTCACCTGTCATTGACTGTCTTTGCTATTCGTTCGAATTCGCGATGAGCTACAACGTCAAGTCGTTCGCACTATCGCCAACAATAGTGGGAGTGCAAGCCAAATACAAATGGCGGTTTCGTTAACTCCTATACACCGTACACTACCATTATGACGCCCGCAGGCGCGACGGTAGGCCGAAACCTTCGGCGCACTCATACACACCCGACCGCACTCTATTGTAATAACAACTCACTGTACAGGTCGCGATGGATTAGTTAAACCAATTCCCCTTTAATGCTCTTGCACACTCCTCGTATACTGATATGCCCATAGGCGCATACACACACAGTTGAACCTTAGATACACTGAATAGACACTCGACGTACAAACGCGTATACGGTTTAGAAGATGCTGCAAATTATTACTTCAGCATATGATGAAGATGATAATAGGAAATAATAATGATCGCTCTTTTTTTAGCAATAAGCACACACAGTTATACACTTTTGCTGCTGCTGCTGCCGCCGCTGCGGCTGCAGTAGCCGTTGTCGTCAATGTACTTTCGCCGTAGCCGTAGCTGCTGTTGCACTCCTGTCCGTATGTTTTATAAGGATGAGATAAAGGGAATATACGGCATATGTTAATTTATCAATAGATTGTTGTTCCTGCCGGTGACAACCGGCCTGCTTTTTGGCCTGGGCTTATTTTCCTCTAGGTCGGCGCTCCTACTTGTCGCCGTGTTTGCCGCCGCCGCCACCCTCGTTATCTTCGTTGTTAAGGTTTATTCGTTCGTCCGTTTTGATGTGATCCTGTACTAGTTGTTGCTTCGTTTACATTTTATGTGGCTGCCGTCTTACGGTATCACGGTATCTGCTGCGACCAACAGAATGGGAAAATAGACGAGCGACGTCGTATCAACGGCTTCGAGTGACCCGATCGAATGTTGACACTTACGTTGTTAATGCGGTGAGGAAGGCGGCGCCAATAACAGCATCCTGGTGTTCAGCCAAAACTCGGCGGATGCTTGCTGGTGCCCGTTCCGATATTCCGCGACTCTGTTTGACAAAACGACGGACGGGGAACTAAGCATCTCCATGAATTTAGGCGAGCGGACGTTAGTGACTAGATGAAGCACGTGGACACCGTGACAGGCAGGCGAGCAGCAGTTGGAAACGGTCTAGCGAGAACGACCCACCAAGTGCAGTTCGATATTGATCGCACAGAATTAAACTCTTTAGAGAAATAGGGAAATTAGGAGAGGAGAATTTTACGTGTACGGTTTATATAGACTCAGGTAAGCTGGTTAGTTATATGTTTTGACAGGTGGACGTTGTTTTGGTCAGAGTTTTAGCCACTCTGCATCTAGTCGTCAAGAAAAATGTGCAAAATTTGAAAATTTGTTGAATAAAGAAAATCGGTAAACACGATATACGCGGATTTGCACTGGGTGTCAGTTATTATTAGATTATCTAGAGAGATAAAACAAGTAGAAATTACGGCAACATGAGTGAGCAGTAGCGATTAATGGCCGTTGTTAACTTCTTTGCTGGCCGATTGAATTACGGCTCATTCAAATTCGATCTTCAGTTTTTGTAAATGCATGAGCAGCTGGTATACGAATCTTAGAGACGTTTCCATTGTTGATAATGTACTTATGTACCAATCATGTAAAGCCAGTTCGTAATTAGCTCAAAGTCGATATTATATCAAATTGAATCTAGCTTAATTTTACTTTCCAACCACAGTCCTCTTTCTATTGTCTATTTGATGAACTTCGTCAGTGAATTGAGACCGATTGTTATGGTGAATTCGAATCCAGCTATCGTTATCGCTGCCGATTGCAATATTCCTTCGACTAAATTATGGATCTGGCAAGCGTTGGATGGATACTTTTCGTATGTGCCATTGTGCTCACCCAGTTACTTGCATTGTATTGTGTTTATCTGTTTGTGTCAAATCTCAAACCTTCGCATGGCAAGGCAATACCGTGTTCGCGTTGCCTTGTTGTAATTGCACACCCCGATGATGAGACAATGTTTTTTGCCCCATTTATTGTTGCTGAAATTGAGCAAAACAGCGAAATACATTTGCTATGCTTTTCGAATGGCGGCTTCTATGGAAATGGTGAAAAACGAGCAAAGGAATTACATAAGGCGGCCGAAACACTCGGAATAGCGAGTTCTCTGGTTACACTCTTAGACTGGCCACATTTTCCCGATAACCCCAAAGTCGCCTGGAAGCCCAATGACGTCCGTGAAGTCATTCTGGATTACTGCAGTGGCAAACCTCAAATTGACGCTATTGTAACATTCGACTCGTACGGAGTTAGTGGCCACCTCAATCATATCGCAATTTACAATGGCGTTCGAAGTCTCGTAGACGATTCACAATTTAATCAGCGCGTATTTATCCTCGAATCGGTATCCGTATTCAGAAAGTACTGTCGGCCTATCGACGAGATCTGCTCCATTATTTGGCCATCGCCGTACCGTTACCGGATAAGCGACCGACAAGCTGCGCGAGTCCAAGCAGCTATGCAGGCACACGAGTCTCAGCTGATGTGGTTCCGCGAAGTGTACAGAATATTTTCTCGATATATGAGAATAAATACTTTTGTGGAACTCAGCGGTCGTTTTGACCGACATCGGCGTCGGGAACGTCCCGGTTCAAAAGCTAGTAAACCTCGCGTAGACCGGAAAAGCGTGAGCCCTCCAGGGAAGAAAACTTCAGGCCCACCTGTCCGAAACGAAAACGATATTGAAGTGGAACCTTACCAAAAAGGACCTAAATCTCCGTTTAAGGAAGTTCCTTCGACCAGCAAAGAAAAACGTGAAGTCGGCAAAAGCGGTCCTGCAGGTCGTAAAATTCCGCCAATACCGAGCAAGGAAGATGGTGATATGTCGATGAAAAAACCTATGATTCCCTCTCTGAATATAGCACTTTTGCCTCCTGGGAAAACCGCTTATAACGTTCCACGAAGTCCTAAAATTCCAGGTAAAGATAGTTCCTTCCGAACTAGAAAAAAACTCTCTGACTCCTCAGAAAGAACCAGCCCATTAAACAGACGTCTTCCAAAAGCACCACCCCCCTCACGCGGCAAATTCGATCGCTTGAGTAGATCTCCGCCAGGCAAAACGGCCTGTCCAATAAGTAGGCCGAAATTTGAGCGTGACATAGGCAAAGATTTATCCCACGACCAAGTATCTTCCGACAGAAAGGACCGTTTGTGAGGCAGACTCATTAGTCTTTGTTTTGAAAAAGCGTGGTAAGTTATCATGGGACGTGGTGCATAGCGCATTGGACAGCAATAGGCGCACATATCGTATGCAGCGAAATCTTTTATGTAGTTGTCGTATTCTTGAAGAACGTTTCGAGCTAACGCCATTCAGGCTACAGTTGTTCTGCACAGCGAAAGCGACACTGGCCATCTAAGTGATTGTATATATATATATATATCTCAGTACTAATAAAAATGATTAAAAAGATTAAGTCGTACAGATATGGATTTCTGTGTGATAGAAACGCCGAAATTATATAACGTTGAAGTTACTAAAAGGTTTATACGTGATGTAAACATCATCAATAAAAAATATTTTACATACTGTGCGCGAGATTCTGATTGAATAAGATATTCACAATACTGTTTATCTCATAGTCCTGTTCATATTTCTGAAACTCAGGCCTATTGGGCCATTATTATGCCGGGCCCGCGAAATCAGAAAGCGTAGATTTCATAGCGTACAGCTATCTGTCTGCATACACAATCATGAGGATGTAGTAAGAAAGAACCTTTCGACACTTACGCAAAGCCATTGCATCCGTAAATTAAACAAAAGTATGGATTATGTAGTCGCCAGCTTGAATAGCTTAATTTCTTCTTTGCTTATACGGCTTGTCTAGTACGCTACCGATGCAGTAATGATGGGTTAGCGTTGCTTCTTTCTACCTTTTAATAAACCCATCGGATCTTACTGTAAAACACAGTGCTTTCAGAAATCCCTTTGCCGCAAAGAAATGAACATCAATATGTGAAAACAATACGAAATCGTTAAGTAGAGCTCCGCGCCTTACGACTCAGCGGGGTTCACACTCTAAGTAGTCGCAATCTGATTAAAAATATTGTGTCGGGTTCGTTTATAGATTTATCCGTTGGTGCGTGATAATGTACAAGTTTTCCAAATACTATTACGAATCGTTCATCTGGAGTTACTCTGACATGTAAGTCATAAAAGACATAGAGAGTTCAATTGCAAAGCACTCATTTTTGACACTGAACGGTAAGTGGACATAATTAACGACTAATGCATTCCTTATAGGTTTGAAAAATACGCTATTTTCTAAGAAACTGCAGACTGTTGAATACGGTGGGCTATAAAAGACACATAAATAGTAGAAAACATCGACAGACCTCGCAGCACTCGTATAAAAGGACACCGCGCATGCAATCTGTAAGTCATAGATTGGGTTCATATAACTTGATAATTTTAGTAAAAAATCAGTTTCGTCGTTTTTAAAAATCAGTCGTTTTCTTTACTTTTACGATTTAGACTTGAATAATTCAATTACTTGAAATGATCTCAACCGATATTAATCGACTGCGCCCTATTTTGTACAGTTGAAATGTAATTTAGGTACAAAACAAAATTTTTTGAAATGCCGATCTAGGCTAGTTAAACGCCACAGTGCCTGACTAACACCTGCGCACACCAAATTGTTTTCCTTCAGCATAAGCACAAACTAAAACAATGTAGTAGTTATTTGATAACGGTGTCGAATAGTTAAGGGCCGTAAAGACTTAGGTAGTTAAACTAGTTAAAATGTGTTTTTCAGGTGCTACGTAGGTAACAATTTTGGCGATCATTTCATGTCAAAAACCCAAAAAAAAAGGTTAGCTTAAGAAAATTTTTCAAATTTAAGTAAGTCTTTAATTAGTAAAACCTCATGGTGAACGGTACAATCGTACTAATGCAACTCACATGTCAGCGATTTAAATTTGCTAACATTCCTTAATGTAAACTGTGCGATTGTACAAAAGCGCATTTTCAAACATTTTCCGCAAATACCTTGCCTTGAACCCGTAACATGGTATGGCTCGTGAAATAGTAGAAAGTCAAAATTACTTCCCTGTTCTGTATGGAAATTCTATTATTTGCAATACAGAAAGCACGTAACCAGCTCTTCCAAGTGTAACGCAATACTGTGCAGTATATTGAACGTAAAACAACGGTTCATTTGTGCTATAAGGGTACCCTTTGAACGTAAGCGAATGACTTGCTCTCGCTTTACGTACAATATTTATAGTGTTTGTAATAGATACTGCGACATTGTCGTAATAATAAGGGTGTAATAATAATTAATGCAATACCCCCGACGAATTGAAGAAATCATTTCTCCTTGCTCCTCTGTAAAGTTCTTTTAAACGGTACCAGAAACCAGAAATAGCATGATACCAGCAAATCCAGCACGGTGCAAGAATGAAAAGCATTAAAAGTGTTTGAGTTTTACCGTTCTGGAGGCGATATCAAAAAGGATACAATTGTATATCGGGCTCAGATATAATATATTTTGTCTATGGCCTGTAGTCATTTGGTGGATTGACCCAGACGATTAATGCTACTGAATATTCAGTGGCAATACAGGGTGTAATCAAATTAAATAAAGTAAAAAGTTAAATTCCTTTATGCTACTAAGGTAAGCATTTCTTGTTAATGGGCATTTCCCAGGCACGACCGTTATTTGTTACATTGCAATTAAAAAGTTAAATACGTTTTAGACTTGTCGGTCGTAATGCGCTTGTAATTCCTGCGCAAGCTATAACTTATCACGTGGCTCTATTAGATGTTCACATTTAAATAGTTTCATTTTTTGATGATGCACAAACAATATCGTTTTGGTATGCTGTTAAAATTTAATTTTAAAAAACCTAAGAGTGGCAATCAAAAATAAGCCGATAACGTACAAAAAGTGATTATTACAATACATATATATATATATATACATAGAAAGTGAAACATCGCTTACATGATTACAAAACGATGCTGGTGCTATAGGGCTCTGCTATCCTATTTTATTGGGCCGGGGTCAATGGCTATTAAGGGCCTCTAATCGCGCTAGAAGTACTATATCAGCGTCAATGAGGAGATGATGCTAATTGTCAGGGGTCTTCTTCTACAGCGAACCCGACGTCTTCTTCTATGTGATTTATGTGCACACGCGTTTCATTTAACTAACAACATAAGCGAATGGTTTTATGGTTGACTTGTCCGGCTTCGAGCTCATATATTCTTCTATAATGTCCTCTTACGCAAAAAGCCGATCCAACCGCCTCAATGAACCAACGTTGTTATATGTCAGCTACTATTAGTTATATATTATAGTGGAAGCGGGCGAGAAGCAATTTTATTTTTGTCTAGACCATAAGTAATTATGTTATAGTTGAACGATGTTCCATGATTCTGTACATTGTATATTCAGTATTCAGCTATCTGAGCTTACAGCAAGTTCAAGCAAAGGTGACTGCCTGTCACTTGAGCTTTTGTATCGATTCGGACCTCCAAAGGATTTGTTTGGTCAAAATATGATAATATACCCTGGTAGTCGAAAAGCATATATCTGGAACATGTTTATTGAAAGATGATTAAAAGTTCCTCCTACCAATTTGAATAATCACATTATCGTGCACAGTAAGTTGATCCAAATTCTATTGAAATGTTGGTAACACTGACGGAAGAATTTTCATGTCTTAACAAGAATATTAATTGATAAATAGATTGACGTTTTCTCCTGATAAGGCATGCTGGGCACAAAAATACCAAGTGCCTCCATGTCCATGTCACACCAAGTCCGACTCCCGTTCAAGTAATTTTGTGTGTTTTTAGGGCAACTGCTGCATTCGACAACCATAGCGCGCCGTCAGCGCGTCAAACGTCGCATCCGTTAGTAGCCGGGGTTGATGGAAACGAATTAGTGAGACATTTCTTCGGCAGTCAGCGAGGATTCCGAACTAAATTTCAACATGCTGGTATTCGCAAACCCACGAAAAGCCAGACCAAATGAAGCTCAGTTTTAATAAAGGATCAGCAAATCGTAAAAAACTGCCAGGTGAATCTGCGGACACAACTTAGCATGGCAGTGTTCGTTTAAACAGGTAGTGTTTGATATACAGATGCATCAAAATAAATCAAACATACTATACGTTGTGGCCAGCTACGAAAAAGCGAGTCTAAAAAGATGCTTATGTCGCAATCGACTGTGACGCTAACCTATCTACAAGTGACGAATTTTCGGCACTAAGTAATTCAGGTTAGTTTTTAGTTTACACATTATTTAATTACGTCGCCAACCAACATACAATGACTACATTGACTCAAATTCATAGCGTTCCTTTCTCAAAATAACACTATTCCTATCACTTTTGGGCAGATTTTGGTGTTTCAAGTCAACGGTACTCGCGTTTCGCAAGAGTGTATCTCAGTCTTAGGCTGGTATCAGTTCGACGTTCGGAATACATACAGAAACCAGTTAACTATATATGCCAAGGCGAATGTTTTTTATTAGACAAAAATTCGACTTTTTTGAACCAGCCACAAAAAATAAATGACGATGCAGGCCCTTTTGTGTAACCACCTAGTGACTCTAAAGCATTTTGTTAGATACAGCCCCACATTCACTAAGCAACGAGACTCCCAATACAGATCAATTGTAGCTGGAGCTCGTATTCTTCTCGTATCGAAGAACAATCAGGTAGCAAAAGCCGTATTTTCACCCGCGATCTAGGTTCCTCCACTCTAATCGCCACGGCTGTTCTCGCCGTTCTACAGACGAGCTTCATCGAGTACCAGGCGTTGATTATCATCTATCTCCTTGACTTTCTAGGCGGCGTTTGGGTGCCATTGTCGCGGAAAAAGATATCCAGCGTTGCAAATTTGCGGATGGAAGTATGGTTTTTTAGGCGACAAGGATTGCTCATAATTATTGGTATGTAGACAGGTGATGCGTGCTCAATTTTAAGCCAGCATAGTTGTGACGTTGTAGCAGCATCTTCCAGATGAAAGGGTACTTACTCTTCACTGCCAGCCGTAGGAGAAAATATAACACTTCGCAGTGGAGATACGACTGACCCGATGCAATAATGGCTAGACATTCCGTTAATGAGTTGTTATGATGTGCAGTACGATGTCAGCGTTGGCGGTATGTCGAAACCATGTATCGAAAGGCGTTTGAGAACGTTTTACTCTACCGAGTCAGATTCTAGTTAGTTACAGACAACCATGTTAAGATGTTAGTTACCATGTTAGTTAAAGACAACCATGCTAGAATTACTTACAACAGGAAACTATTACAAAACGCTTGCTCTTTTAAAGGACAATTACTATAGAGAGAAAAGCTATCTCTATTACTACAACATAGCTACTTAGAATCTTGCTGCGAACGGCTGACTTTTTTTTCCTTCTTTTTACTACCTTCTCGATAAGATAAAATGTTTTTTTTTTTTTGCAAACTTCTCCATAAGCCACTGTCATATGAAATTCTGCTTGAATGAATATCTAGAATTTAACCGAATATAGTCACTACCGTTGGAGGATCAATGCGCAAGGCGTTCAGAGCTACATTCGACCGTACACTACGGTTTTCGATATATTAGGCTAGCTTTAATCGCACCGTTCGGCTAGTTTGCCAAAGTGTCATTTTTGTTGTGTTTAGCACCACATTTTCATTGTCGCTAGTTGAAAAGTTCATTTCTCAGACGATAACATGTTCAGCTTTTACAGCATAATCATTTATTGAGGTACTTCCACAATGACAGGAGTACATGCTATAGTCTGTTGAAGATTTTCTATAGCTCTGTCGTGTTCACTTAATTCTAGCTTTTTGGGATTCAAAAAGCTGTTCAAATCATCACCATTAGGCGCTGATGTGAAAGAAATTAGAATATGAAATTTTTCTATTTCTATATTGTTGGCTACCAATGTGTATATATACATATTTAGCTTTAGTTAATAAAAACAACAATTAAGTCTAACCGAAACCCAACGTATTTCATTTAAATTATACACAAACAATTGGCAGAGTAATGCGACAACCAGCTATATTTATCCGATAGTTAGACATGTGCTTAGATCACTTTAATTGCTTTCTTCAGTGTTTCATATCTTACGCATATAATATATATATATATATATATTCACAGACGCCCGTATGTCAACATACATACCCAACTTGTATGCGTAATTGACATAAATGCAAGTTGTATTTTGTTATTTCCAGTCGCACACACGAATCGGCCCCCCTGACAAGTGAACTTTCCACGGAACACACATATCTATAATTTCCCGCAGGCCCATTGCGTCATTTAGCGAGTGAGCTGTCATTCAATGAGTTCCTGAGCGCATGGCTGTGTGCTTGACGGGAGCGGATTTCCTGGAGCCTTCCAACTGGGGCCTGCTTCTTTATGTTCTTTAACCTCTCGCCAGCAGCAGAAATCTTTATCGACCTTGGAGCCGACTACCGTTGATACCGCTACGGACCCCAACGACAAAATAGATTCATTCGAAAAGGAGTCTTTTGCCTTGGAAGTTAAGCTTGACTGGTATGGGAACGCCGCATATTCTGTATCGAAAACACATCGTGTAGTAAGTGTTCATATTACATCGTCTCATCGAAACGTCGTTCAATTTAGAATACAATTCTAATCAAAATGGGAGAACGGTACCTGTTGGGTCAAACACAAAATTAAGGGATAAAAGCATATTTGTAAAGAAAAAATTAAAAGTAATTGTTGGCGATTCGGGGTCTACAACGAAAATTCTAAAAACACGCACTTTGTTGCGAAGTGATGCGTCGAAAAGGTCCGATGAAAGCGCATCTTCTTGATCCTCCTTCAGCACGGTCCATTCCATAATCGTAGCCGAAGAGCGATTTCGATGGCGAGGTAGATGGTACGCTCGGCTCATCCGGGACGTGCTTAACACAGCCCGCTTGACCGTCATCGGATAAACTGTTGCTCTCCGGAGATTTGTCTTCTTGCCCACCACCATTGCCACTTGCACCGAACGGTAATTGTATAACTGCTGAGCTGCACGTGGGCAAGAAGCGCGGCTGCGCACGATTGCATTCCACCTGTAGTCAGTAAGTGACAGATATATATATATATATCTGTGTGTGTGATTGTATGTATAATCACACATATATAATCTCGAGTTAAACGCCATTTTGTCCTCAACATTATTTTTAGCTATTAATACGAGGAGAAATCCTGCTATACGCATGATCATGCATTGATGCAAGTTCATTTGCTACCTAATATGTACGATAAAATTACCTTCTTTCCCCTGATACATATATAATGTTCCCTACAAACTTTGTCGGCGACGCGCTCCTCTTGAAATGTTACAAAGCCAAAACCGCGCGAGCGTTGGCTTTCCTGGTCAAACATGATTACCACCTCCAGCACCTGTAAAGTTGACCATGTATCGCCGAACGCGTAATCGTATTAGTTTTGGTCTGGATAACTGACCACAAACAGGCAATCCCCTCTGTTGCTACTTCTATTTAGATAAGAATCGCTACTGCCCATGATAGACACTTTCGAAATTACTACACCTTTTGCTGTAAACACAATGGATTTAGCTATGTTTCTAAAGAGATGATTTTTTCCAAAAAGTTGCTTTAGCGCTAATAACATTAAACACAGCCGTACGTTGCCGTAGTTTTCCCTGAAAAATTGCCCAAGCTCGTTTTCTGTTAGCGAAGCAGGAAGTCCTCCAGTGAACACTTTAGGATATGGTCGCATTACCTGAAAATGTAAATGAAAACATCTGACACTTTATATACAATGTTCCTGGAAAAGAATATAACATGCACATCAGCAGATTGTCATTAATGTCGCATTCTTTTTCATGGGCACGTGTTTCAGGAAAACAATTTACTTCGAAAACCTTAACGACTGTTTGGTTTGCGCCCGCGATATAGCGCAGTTTTGCGCATCAATCTAGGAAATATTTCGGGCGTCTGTATTTGTGGTTGATGCCACCTTACTCACATGTGTTCTGTGCTCGTCTATTGTTTGACTGAACGGGACTTCCCGATTGAACCGATGATTTTACCTTGAACTTACTGTCGTGACAAAAAAATTGTAGAATTATATTATAAAACTCAGTTCAATGGCATTTGGTGTATTAGCGCGTTAAACCTAGAACCTCTGTCATCTGAATCCAGTGACTTAACCGTCCATGACATTGCGTCGAGGACCATAAATATAAGCTACATATTGTCCATAATGGCTAATAATCATATCAATAAAAGCCATATACAGCTACCAATAAAAGTAATACCATAATAACTTCATACAGTGTAGGCATATCTTATAGTCCGTACGCCTTGCTTTTACAACAAAAGGCTTGTAGGGATGTCTACTAGGATACTAGAGAAACATGTTAAAGGAATCTACTTTCCACCAGGCTGATGCATAAGTAAAGTAGTTTTTCAAATATTCCCTTTTCCCTTTGCCCAGCCACTGGTTACTTCTGTATACCGAATAAATTGCTCTCCTGTTGTAATTTCATTGTGTAGCCAATAGAACCCTGATTTTGGGTTTCAAAGGTATTTGTTCCTGGTGAAAAAGCGCATTTGTGGCCCAGCTATATTTTGTCCCTTGTCAGGGTCACAAATTTGCCAAAGCAGTTCTGGATATTTGTGCCTTTTAGTGAACGCAAAACCGGTTAAAGACGTTTGGACAAATTCGATACTGGCATCTTGAGGCTGAAAGATATGTCGTTCTGATCGGCCACCAGATGTCAATAAAGATCGCCTAAAGGAACATTTCAACAAAATTGGCCGAAGAATTGAACGTTAGTCTGAGTACTGCTAAGTATCTTAAACCTATGGAATTCGCTCAAAAGTTTGGATTCTGAATGCACCAGATACTGACTCAGTAGTGCTTGTCTAGCATGAACAGCGCGAAGCTACGATGACAGGTTTCTGGGCAGAACTATTACGCGCGATGGGAAGTAGTGTCTTCAGGTCGATATGAAGCAAAGAAAGGAATAGGCAGCTCAGAATTAGCCTTAGAACGATTAGAGTTTGGTGGGACTGAGAAGGCCTTATACGCAGCAGAATGCTTAAGAACAAGACAGTCAACAAGGATCCATATTATTGTTACCAGTCAGATGAAGAGAGCGAGGCTATCCAGCAGAAAAGCCCCGATGAGCAAGGTAAAATCATCCTGTTCCAAGACAATGCCAATGAGTCCACCGATTCTTATCGGCGCGAGTTCTAACGACGGATTATAGTCTTTTTCGATTATTGACGAGTAAAATTCATAATTGTACATTTGACGGTGAAATGGGCTTCAAAAGATAGCTGGACGAGTTGCTTAACAGGAGACCTGAAAATATCTGGCGAGACGGAATAAATAGATGGTTGGGTAAAAAGAGTTCATACGGTCCTAATACATTTTAAACAGAAATCGTTTCCAAATTCGAATAAAACGTTGCACCTTTTAAGATACTTTTGTATCATTTTAATAATATAGCATCTAAAGGAGACATCTGCTTTCAATATAGAATAGGACTATTAGGATGCTCTTTTACAATATATTGAAATACAGATATATATATATATATATATATATATATATATATATATATATATATAGAAACAAAAATACAGATTGCAATTGTCATGAAGCGAATCAATACGAAATATGAAAGGCAAACACATTTTTTATCGGCGTTACAGCAAAAGCTGTAGGGCTTGCTTTTGCGCACTATTTGTCCATGCCATAATTAAAGATAACACAGTTTTTAAAACTACTAGCTTACCCTCCCGGGAACCTTGATGTGATTTCCGTTTTGTCCACACGGTTTCGGATCGACCTGTACATAACGTCAGTATTATCCCGGGATATTTATTCTATTTTTACATTAACTCTATTCTAAAATGAAATAAAGCTGATAACGCTGCAGAAGTAGCACGAACGACTCGCGGAAGAAAAGACATTTTTTCTCCTAGTGGTTTTTAACAGATGAATTATTCCGTATTAATCAGATCCTACCTTGTTGCAAATAGAATTTCATTAAAGACGAGTGATTTCAAATCATGTAATCGAAAAAATATTATTAAGTTCGAGAAAGATAATACCACTCGATTGTCGACAGAATGTGGACCTCTTTGGCAGACGATAAAGGCGATACATGGGTCACGATACGTTACGAAGCCGAAACCTCGGCTACGTCCCTAATTCACAGATTATGACCAACAGAGGGGAATTATCACGGTTATTATATAAATTAGAGCTAAATTGGAAGAACAAAACATAAAATGAATGATTGAAGGTTCTAAGTCCTCTCCGTGTGGAGAGAATCGATTAGGTCCTAGGGAATAAATAGCATTACATATGAAACCTGTACGAATTTTTTGGCATAGCACTACGATTTACTCTATAGGCGTTCGTACTTCACCTGTTCGTTTGTGACGACTGTACAATCCTCGATGTCTCCGAAGAGTCCGAAGTACGCAGCTAGACTATGCCGCGTTGTACACCACGAGAGACCCCCGACAAACATTTTACTACCGCCGCCAGCCAGTCCGCCTAAGTAGTCTCCATCGCCGCCGACACTGGATACATTTGTTGAATCCGCAGCAACGATCATATTGACGAAGAGCAGATTGACCTTAAATATCAGCTGGCACTTAGATGAGATACTTTTAATCGAGTTAATTCGATATCCCGAATTATTCCTATAGAGTAAAAGTTTCGGCACAAGAGGTTCTACAGAAGAAATCGACTTCAATAAACCTATTTTATAAAACACCATATTTTCGGATAAGTGGATGAACTGAGAATAATTTGTCCTTTTTCTCTTTTCTTTATAATTTCTAACTAGTAACACTCTAGCGAAATGAATTCGACCTACATTAGTAAAAAAGCTTTCAATGCCAAATCAGTTCCAACTGGAGTGTCTACAGTGTGATAAAGTGAAAGGCTTCAAAATGCATGGCCATTATAGGCTCAACAAATAATTGACACGATCAAATCCGCGGATGGAATCGTTGAATCATATTTGGTTATTGATAGAAAGATGAGGCCTCTTCGTTCTAATTATGATGAAGCCATCGTTCAGAGATGACACTCTCCTAGTTCTCTAAAGTTGATCATATCCCTAACTACGACAAATAAAATGCTAAAAATTCATACATTGGCGACGCTTGGCCATATATGCAGCCTGGCCGTGGCTGCTTCCGCGGGCAGTGTGGATGTTGTTTGTAAATATCAGGCAGGTGCGTTACCGATCAGAAAAGCTGCTTCGATCCTTGTCTTTTGTATGTTTCTACAAGATCGATAGCCACTTGTTTGGTTCCTGGGTCGACTGCGACGTATTTTTGCTGAAATTGAGATTCTATGTTGCAAAAGATGTTCTAAAAGTGTTCAAAGGTCGAGTGGGTAGCACTGGACAAACCGATCTCGCCTACGTTACTGTTATGCCTCGTATGGCCACTTCGCCGCCACTGTTGCTGGCAAAAATAGCAGACGATAGTAGATGTAAATAGTATTTCAGGACATAGGTTGGATACTAAAATGTAGTAAAACAAAGTTGAATAACGGTGAACTATCTTAACGGTTCCTTGAATCAATTCTTAAAAGGATCGGGATGCTGGAGCGAAGACCATGCAATGAGTTGGGTAGATCGTGTGGGACCGCCTGCTTACTCCAGGGCCCTCAATGGAACGTAATAATCGAATGGTGATGTAATCCAATTTGTTTTTGTCCAAACAGTCGGCTACAGAATGTTACGATCACTGTCGCAGATCGATAAATAAATAATGAAATCATTTCACAAAATCATTTAAAAAAGAAGTGGTTTTTCATAAAAAAAAATTAGAACAGTTATAGGATTAATCTCTCCTAGCGAAAAACCTCTACAACTCACTTAAACAGGCGCGGGATGGCTATTCCCGAATCTCGTATTAAATGGCTAGAATAGACGGAAGTCGCTTTTTAAGTTAAATGTCGAAGTACTCCGTCCAAATTACTTAATGTATTGCGTAAGGTAGTGTTGGGACTAAAACGAGCCGTTGAGATCAAATCAAAACAGACTACAAGTTTGATCTTATTTATCATGGCGAAACAAGCCAGGGAAAATCAATAATGCAAGCCCGACAATGCGGAACAATCTGTGCATTTCACGTGAATGCAACAGCTTGTTTTACAGGTAAATGCCAGAAAATGAGTAAGTATAGCTATCTTGAAGAAAATTTCTACAAGATACGGCTTCACAACAGGGAGATTACGATTCCACTCCAGTAAATATGCCAATTTTTACGCCCATGACTTCAGCCGCTAGGCATTGTTTTGGACGACTTGCTTTTACGCTTTCTTGGACAAGAAAACAATAACAAAACAGCTTGTAATGTTATAATTTGCGTAAACCTAACAAAACAATTATTATTACTACTATTTATGCTTAGTTTCAGGCCAGGAATACTTAAAGCCAAAATACAGAGGCTATCTGGAACCAAAATAGACCAAGTATTTTGGGTATGATTCGATCAGAATCGAATAATCCTAAATTCGACAAAGATCGTACCAATCTATCTATAAATGAAAACACGCGATTTTAGCATTAATTCTATGTATATATAATATCCTATTATTACTTTGATTCTTTCGCCATGGATATATACAATACGATATTTTTGAGCTTCTTTCAGTTATGATTGCTTTGTTTTCTATTCTATTTCCTATCTCTGACAACTTCAGGGGGTTAATTATATGGCATTTGGGCTTGCCGAGAACGAGCCGGCCTAAGCCGCTCTATCGGCGCAGTGACCTTTTAACTTGCCACGGCTTTCTATGCACGCTTAATCGACGTGACCAAGAGCGCGCCAGTAATCCGTGCAGGGACGACAAAGTAAAAAAAATAACATAACATAGTAATTTACATATTACTTTCTTACACCAGCATAAGTTATATATTCGGTCATTAATAGTCTCTTCTGATTGTTGATGCTAAATATAATTTGATATTATTCTTATGTAAAAACTTCAATAGTCGTCGCCGGCAAGCTCGTAAACACACGTACATAAGCACATTTACACAATCAGGTATACCATATGGAGACATACGATACAAAGTTATTATCTCAGCTTGATTCTCGATTAATAGGAACCTCATAAATATGAATCCTTTCGAAATCTCGAGTCAAGCTTCAATGAAGCGACAATCTGCCAAACTCGTTTTGAAAAGTGGACTAGATCTGCCTGACACAACGCCAAAATTAGAAAAAGGCGAAAATTTTTGGAAAATTTTGTCTTTTTTCTATTGTGTAACTATTTTATTTTACAATAACTGGCTTTTATGGTTAAACTACGTACAGTTTATCGCGCTTCACAAAAGAAAAAAACCTACAGTTGTGTCTGGTAACACTGGCCATTAGAAGGTGTCAATGGCGTCCCTAAAAGGGCCATGCGTTAATACCGTTCACCTTGACCGTTCTAACAGTTTGGCTGGCAGTTTGTCGCATTGGATGAAATATAACAGGTGAATAAATTTGAATAAGTGGGTGATGACTCTGGTATATTTACAACAATAGATCGATATAGTTCTCCTACAACGAACACAACCTCAGCAGTATACTCATATGTCTACTTGTTGTCATTTTCTGTTCTTTTTCCCCTTTTGCTGTTTATTTTCGATGACCACTTGCTCTGCTTTTTTTGCATTTCGCTGCTTATTTCGGCCCCGATAGGGGACATCTCCAGTATTTCTTAGATAGGTTATATATAGTTAACCAGCGTAATTTCAGTTGACCAAGATCGACTACAGGTGGTGATCCATACCAAACGTAAGTCACCATGCTGACGATTATGCGATAATTCGTCTTAGTAATTGTTCCAAGGCACCGGCACCGGAAAATGTTTAGATAGGTTAGCTAAATATTTACAGCTGTGACGACAGTGCATGTTCGGTGACCGGCGTTTGGCTTTAAAAAAAACCATACAATCATCGCAAGAACACAGTATGTGGTAATACTGCTTCTTTTCACTATTGATCCATATAGGATATCTATAAACGACATTGCATTGTATTGTGAGCTGACCTTTTTAGCATGTTTCTTGTGTCTCTTACTGATACCATCAGGAACACAGTTGTTGACAGCTCATTGAGTCATCGTCACATTAATTTGTTCTATAATAGACAATTTTTTTTTAATAAAATGGAGCCCTGGTAGACGACATTCAGGAAGGCTTTTTACGAATCTATTTGGCTTTTTACATTATCAACTAGACATGGCACAGGTAAGCAAAGGACGCCTTATGCATGAGTGTCTTCTACCTGTGGATGGCTATAGATCGCCCAGTTTCATAGCGATGTTATTTTATGTCAATAATTCCGCCAAGCCAGCAGCTTGAACAACGAGGTCCAACTGGAGTGCACTGCGGGTCGTACCAAAGTACGATATGTTCATATCTAGGAACAAGTATTATTTTATCGCGTGTTTTTCGTTACAAAACCCTTGCTACCAAAGTGCTTAGGTCACAGACCATAGCGTCAGTACATGACTTTGTACCGTACAACTATTTCATTGTTATTAGAAGGTATTAATTTAGGTGATGACAACATTTTCGTCATGTTTTCATGGCATCGACAGGTTATAATCGTAGGAAATTTGTTCGATCAGTGGAATTTTAGACCTTGTAGATGTAGTTAGACACGAAGGAAGTTGGAGAAGGTGGCAATGGTTGCTTGGTCTCTGTTTCGTAGGCGTGGGGAAGAACCTCGAGCTCCTCGCGCTTGTAACGTCTGTACAGGCGTCCAGCTACGATCACGTAGAAGACCTGTGCAAAGGCATCGCAGTGCGAGAGCATCACACAAAGTAAAGGCGACAACACCGACAACAATCACAACCGCGATTAGAAATTTTTCGAAAAGCGTATCAGCTCCATCGATGTTCTACCATTTGCCACGGCAGAACTTAACAATATTTTTATGAAAAAGAAGACTGTCCTCCGTATTTGAAAATGAGTAGATTTGCTCACTAGTAATACAATACATTACAATGAGAAAAAAAAAACTAAATTCAGCTATAATGTTTAGAATTAGGCGTCGCCTAAACACGACGGAGCTTCTACCGATGTTTGGAACGCTGCAATAAACATAATCATATTAGTTAGTAGACCGATAATTGATTGTAATTGGCAAAACAAGTGCTTATACTAGTTTCTTACAATAACTTACCATAACAACTTACAATAAAATACTTAGTGTAGTAGTCCTACTTGAAATAAGTTAAAAATTATTGGTAATTTGTGTGAATGACGTTTACGTGTTCTGGGTGAGAATCTCTTTAGCCATAATAAAAGATTACTTACCTGAACGCTCATGAAAGCAACGGAGGTGGCGATGATCCAGAAGCTAGTAGGGTCCTGTAAAAAGCAACTTAGTTAGTACCAAACGGAAGCCCTGATAACTGCCGTATGCGTGATAAAGTATAGGGATAATGCACCGTTTACATCCATCTTATTATAGTTAGGGAACGACATTGCAGTACGGCACTGTTACTGGTTTTATAAGACAAAAGTGGCTTTCGAGAAGTATAGATACATTAAAAAACAACATAATGTTCTGCCTTGCTTTCAGAAGCAAACAGATACTTTGATCAAATTCAAATAGGGAACGGTCTCTGCCTATCCAGCCGGATTTAGATCGTCAGCTTGTTTTTGTAATAAACGTGTAGAAAATCATTTACATTACAAGAATTGCCGTCTGCAACAAAATTTCTTTCTAAAAGATAGGATAATCTGAGTAAGTCTCATAGAACATGGGTTACAATAGTTATTTGCTCGAAAAAAAATTATTGACTTTGCAAATGTATCTAGGACTTGACAGTTTTAATAATTTTGTTTACAGATGTCACGGTTTGACTCCTCAGATTATTCCGTGTCTTCTATCTTTCACAATGCCATACTTAGTATTGAATCACATTATATTTGCATAAATTCCAGTGTATGCATGTACCTTCTGCTTGCATATACAATATCGATATAGATATATATATATATATATATATATAAATATATACTTTTGGATTCGTTTTTACCTTGATGTCTGCCAGTTTGACCGTTTTGACTGTATATGTACAACTGAACTTTGATTCTTAAATCGGAATTGAGTTGGGTCCGTATCACGTGAGGGTTCCAGTATTCGTTTAGAAAATACACCTGTACAATACTGTTTGTAGCTTTCGATGTAAATCGTCTATTGTGCTCCTTTTGTACTGTGAATGATCTAAGTTGTAGTATTATGCAGGGTGAAGCAAAAGTAAGAATACAATGGGAAGCTGAAGAATGCAATTATAAAATAGTTAAGCTTACAGCTGTACATCTTTTTTCACATTAGGCCTACTTTTGCTCATTCTCATGTATAATAGAACAGGAATGTTTGCTTTCTGCCATACTCATAGATATAGTACATGTAGAATTGTGATTTCGTCATTGCCAATATTTGGGGCCAAGATCGCTCAACTTCAGCATAAACAACCTCGTAAAATCAAGGCCGCGGCTAATGCTGTCGAATATTTGCTCTTTGAATCATCAGTATTGCTTTTTGTGCCTGAATCGAAAGGCCGACAGCAAAACTGGATGGTATCTGTTTCGAACCCACGTGTTTTTCCATCCACCAAAGGGGTATGCTAGGTTAAACTGACTAGTAAGAAAATCATGAAATTTAATTAGCAATGTGAGTCTACGAAGGCTTGGACTATACTTGGTGTTTGAAAAATGACGCAACGTCATCGGTAACTGGCTAATCTGTTCAAGCTCGTTGGTCTTCGATGCAGTTGTGTCACTTTTTGAACACTCCGTATGTTGCAACATTGCAGTTATGGCTAGTTGAACGATCTCGCCATTTTAGATTAAATATCAGACCAAACAGATGTAAACCGAATCACAGCGTCGGTTGATTAGGAATTGCTGATGGTGGCTCTGATGAATATGATGACGGAGTTAACATCTCTCAGGCCGCCTAGTGTTTTTTCTTGCTGCGGTCGTGTCTTCAAATCTTTCTCGGCACCTTGTCTGGAAGGGCAGGCCTTCCAGGCCTGCCCTGTGATTAGGTTTTTGTCAAGAAGGTATAATATGATCTGCACCCCTTGTGAGAGTGGCGCCGAAGGTGAGCGGGGATCGACCCCTGGGTGTTGCAAAAATCCTGCACTGTGTGGAAAGAACGTTGTAGGTCAGTGATCTGTTCTGATTTTTCATATGGTTATCATTTAATTACCCGGTTACTGTCAGAATATCTTTGTAATGCTGTTAATGTCGGTCTATGAAGTCTTCAATGTTGAAATAGATTCTTTGCTCTCGTCTTTTCTTTAGATTGGTCCTGCTTGGTGAGTTTGTAGTTTGATTATACATGATGACTTAACACTTTTGGCAAAATGAATGAAAAACTGGTCCGCAACATTTAGTCAGTACGACGCAATGCGGTATCTATCAAAACCAATACCGTTAGCAATTATTTTGTAGTCATCTAAAATCGCAGGCAAAAAATATTCGTCGTGGCTATTAAAGGCAGGGAAAACAACATATTAAACGCTTGTTAATACCGCGTCAAGAGATCTACATACAGAATCTATCAGAGACAATATTTTAGCTATGCAGCTATAAATGTCGCCGCCGTTGACGTGATCTAACGCGATTACGGTTGCCGCCTTCGAAAGATAATAGGCGTGTCGGTATTTTCATCTCTAAGTATAACAAGAGTGCCGAAACAAACGCTCTGATGCACGCTATTGCGTATGCTGTCAGACCGAACTGACGCTCGTCCATGACAGCTTTCGTCCAGAATCCCAACAACTGTGTTTGCTACACGCATATAGTTCTAATGCTGTTATTTAAATTACACATAAAACCGATATTTCGGTTGTACGATAGTGTGTTTACACGAACAACGTAAATTCGATGCGATCCATGATAGTATCAGTCGAATTTCAAAGTTTTATATACAAAAAAAGTAAAGTGTTCATTCCATAAATGACTAATAGACACGGACAAGTGTGCCTGCATTCTAGTGTGCTAGAGAACTTTACCGTGTAGACTTAACTATCTATGGCACTGTATAGAACATCGGCTGCAACATTAAAACTGTATCAGGTAACAATAAAAAATGAAAACTGATTTATACACTAGGAGGAATCGGTTAATAGCGGGCGGTTTGAATACTAGGGGGAATTAGGAAAATTAGGCTAGGGAAATTTTATAAGGTTAACTCTGTAAATGGGACTTGGTTATGCAAAAATAGAGACTTATCTAATTCTGCAAAGGCCTTCCTGCCGACATGCACAGACGTAACTACACGCGAGACCAGTGTGTATTTTTTGTCACTGTAAGTATCATGAAGACCAACAGCGTTCTGTGCCTGCTATAGAAACTTCGCAGGGCCTTATAGACGTTACACAGTTACTTACTTGAAATTTTCGCTATATGATTTCGCTATATAAAATTAAGCGTATTCTTAAATCTATGGCGTATAAGTTAGAAACTAGTATTATATTCCTTGAAAACTGAGACAAAGAAAAGAAAATGAGATTCACGGCCAGGAATCAACGGTATTAACTCTAGATACAGAAAACTGTTGGGCCTTATTACATGTTGATAGAAAACAAAAAAATAAATTGCTACACTAGGCTACCCTGTGACAAGTTTTAGCCCTTGTTGTCGACTGAATGGGATAAATAGTGCCCCTGTGTGGCGTCGTGGGTGGCGTGTAACCCAGTTCTTGGGCAAGCTGATGTCCTTGGTGTCACCACTTTCGTGAAGCGGGTGGTGTCCGCATGTCCACGTGGGTGTAAAGAACGAGATGAAGGTGCGTGGCCCTCAGTCGGCCTTAGTGCGGTTGTCAGATGTTGGCCTTACGGAAGTAAACGCGAGGAGGACGGAGGCCTTGGCAAGAAGTAGGATCTCAATGCATTCGGCGATAATATAGGGGAGCATGAGCGACTTCTTCTTCTGCAACGCCGTCAGAGAGAATCATGCGTACATCCCAACAGTGGCGAGCAGCATCCATAGAAACACAAAAATCGATCAGATCTAAGTAATAAGCAATACTGACAGTAATAATCGATAACACTACGCGAAAATCTATTTCCTTTTTCGACATTTCCAACAATATATCTTCACGCAGTCATATGAACCACTGTGACAGATAGCAGAGTAGACTCTACTTATGAGCGCTTTTTACAAATGAATTAGTTGAGAAGCGCTATTTTTTGACATTCAGCCAGAACTATGCGCAGTGAGTGCCTATCCTTATCAAAAATATTGCGGATCATCCTATATTCGTATTGATCGAATGATTTTAGATGCCGAAACTTTTCACCGCCTGTGGGCGACCGCAATGTTCATCAGGCGTCTTCAGCGCTCGTTTACGAAGTTTCGCCATAATTGGGATGTGACTTCGATTAAACTGAAAGCCAAGCGCTCAACACGTAATAACTACGCAGGCAGACGCTTCAGGCATCGGTCATACACGTTTGTGCATGGAAGCACGGAAACTAAAGACCCGTTGAACAGTACATATTCCATGCAGATATCTTTTAAAGGGTTTTTCTAAACTAACTGTAATCATCTTTTATCCAGATTAATGTCGACTGTCGGATCGAAGCACAAAATTATGTGTTAAATGGTGCTTTTTCTATCCTTTATATATTTTCTATATTCCTTAGTCGTTATGGGACCTTGTCAATAATTGACATGATTCGGTATCATCTTAAATTTGGAACTGAGCAGATTTCACAAGGCAATAGAATGGTAAGGAACACTACATATATGCGAAAGGCTATAAAAATTCGATAGTTGGAATAAACGCCAGAAGTTTCAACCGTTTTCACCTTGTTTCACCGCTAACCCATTTGTCCAGCCACGGTTCTTTCGACCTTAAGAATACGCCTTGCTGATCAACTAAGGAGAATACAACATAATTAATTGAGCTGGTTTGCCTTTCAGGATAGGGGTGTTATCACTAACATGAAAAATGACTTCAAGAACGCTAGCATCGTTTCCTTCACTTACCTTGGTGGCACCGACAATCAAAAGGATGGCGCAGAAGCACTGGATGATGGTGTGAAGTATCAGACTGCTGGGGTACACGACGTTCCCTGTGGTCGACATAATTAAGGCAAAAAGATCATGCTTAATTTTTTGCGTGTTTCCAAGGCAGATTACTGTGTAAACATTCATCAATCTGGCGACACTAACAAAATGGGTCCATAGATGTGTAGAGTAAGGCAATAAAAACTTCGGTGTTATCCAGTATTAAACGTTTTCGGAGTGTTTGAGAAACGTTAATACGTACACCAGACGTTCGTGCTTTTGGGAACAGTGTCGAAATGAATCAGGAAGTAGGCTGCTAGGAGGTACGTGTACGCAAAGAACTCCACAATGTGGATGCACTGAAAATGAACAAGTTGCGGAAATGCATTATTTGTATCATATACGCTTAGTATCACAGCCCCTACGCCCCTTTTGACGCAATGAGAAAATCTGACATTGTAGCTTTCTTTATCAGGCTCTGCACAGTTTATAAATACGATAACACTAGTTTACTTTACGTTATTCTATGATATGTTAATGATTTAGGAATGTGTTACTAAATAATCAATAATATTTTAGTCTAAGGCCGGGTATCACCACATTTCCAGTATTCTAGTTTTCGTCACAAATTTCTTAGGACTCTAATGGCGTTTATATATACGAATTCTAATGTTAGATTAGCAGTAGAAAGGTAACACAGTTGGTGTCTCTCTTGGCAGCGTAGCCATCACAAAAATTTTTCTTTTTTGGTAGCAACTACTATATACGTAAGTACACGGAACACCAGTTGTCAAATAGCTTTATTTCCGTTAATGCGCTTAGCTTTTCCCTGAAGTTTCGTGCAAGACAAGGCACTGACGGCTAGTACAAGCCGTTATCTATTGCGATTAACGTTGGCCTCGCTAGAAAAAAAAAAGATCTAAATACAGCTTTTGCTTGGAAGACGTATAATCGAACGCGCTGTAAACGACTGGTGGATTTCGACTGCAATGACGTGCTCTGACTTCGTAAACCACGCCTCGGTGTGTCGCTTATCTTGCCGCGATGATTTGCAATCAATTTCCGGCGTCAGAAAATTGTTCAAAATACCAACGGGACCGAACTAGAAAAATAGAACCACTACCACCAAAGTCAGGGCTGCCAGGCTAGCCGTACTTTTCGCTGCGCTAGATTTGTTCGACTGCATTTTGTAGCATTTTAGATTTGGCATACACACCCCACTTGTTGTTTTGTTATTCTTCTTGCTAACTATAGACGCACGTAATTAATGAACGGCGAGACTGACCATCGAGCACTGGCAACATTTCAACGACTTTTTTTCTGGAGCCCTTCCACACGTAAATAGAAGCACACAAAGAGGTCTATCTGATCCAAACTACGCAAATGTTAGAAATTGAAAACGAACGAGCTGGCGTTTAGCGAAGTCGTAGGTATATCGACTGTGCTGTCAGCCATGACGGTACCGACACACCAGGCCGAGTGAAATTTTAATTGATCAGTTCTGAAAGTGGATGCGGTACGCCGTTGGCTAGCAGTCGAGCTTTTCGATAAACCTAGCTACTTATTAGCGTCGGTGATGTCAGCTCGTCATGTGAAGCTTGTTGGTACGAAGTCTTTGCTGTCGGCTTAAAAATTTCATAGTCACTGAAATGCGCTATCGTTATCGTCATTTTCACTGATAACTTTATTTCGATGTTGTCCTGATAGATAAGAATAATTAGGGTAAAAATTCAACAGCAATCATATAGGTGGTTTGTAAATATTTGCAAGTGTATGATAAAAATGTAGCTAGTACTACCATTAACTGTTGTCTATGCGTATCTATAAGACAAGGACCATTTAAAGTTTAATTTTTTTTTGTTAATACCTAGTAGTAGGTTGTTTTTAAATAACACTGTGGAACATTGCTGAAGAGCTAGTCGGCAGCTCATCAACATTCGATGCGTGCAAGTCGTTCATTCAGTACTTTTTTATGTAGCAATATAAACAACAGATGATTGTCTACCTCATAACAACGTTAGTAATCAACATGATAGACTTGGTTCAAAGCAACAGCCGCCGGTAACCATCGTTCACTTGCCTTTAGATGTATGCTAGCCCGGTAGGCGTAAGGGTTTCAAATGAACGGTGCTTGTACATTCCTGCTGTTCCAATTCGCTTGTCAGTGTTACAGTTAAAAGATCTAGGCTATACGCATGTTTTTATTATAGCAGAAATATCCATCCTATTATTCCAGTAGGTCTTCATTAATCAACACTTCGTCTAAAAACAGCGTTAAAAAAAGTTGATGTCGTCGCAATTGCCCCAGAGGTGGTAAACAAATATAGCGATTTTTCGAAAAGTTTAACTAATAGCTTGGTGCTGGACCTTTCCGAGTTAGTGACAGAACAATTTATAGCATGACGGAATAGTGAGCAGACAGAAGAGGCAACATTTCGAGTAACTTAAAATCTTGTCTGTGTCTGACTGATGACAATCTACTGCATGAACTTATGAACTGCATGAAGTTATAATTGCTCTCAGGACTGACGGTATATTAGGCCTACATACAAAACGCATCAACAAATAGTAGAACGTATTCAGTGTAGTTCTGCAATGGTAATAGGGGCTACTTCACACAGTTGCTGACTCATCGTGCACAGCGGGAGCTGGGATTACGTAGTAGGCCGTAAGGCAAATACAGGTTTTCTAGGAAAAACTTTGATTATAAACGTCTTGTCAATATGCTGTATGGCATAGAAACGCGTCGTGTCTGAATTTATCAACGTCAAACTTTAGCATTGTAAAGAAGCGGACACCTAGAGAGGGTACACGAGACCCTTGTGCTAGGTAACACGAAAATTAGCACCACCGTAAAGTAAGCCGGAATACATGAAAAGGCGCCAAAAACATATTTATTATGTAGCTCATGATTTCACCATAACTCTGTATTTCGCTTCCATTTAATTCTCTTTTCATAATTATAAGTTACTCCAAAATACGTCACGGCATTTTAACGGTCGAACGTTAAGTGGTGAAGCAAGTTCTTTCAATTGGGTAAGCGCGTCTAAATTCATAAACGATAATTAATCGGGAATTTCGACAATGTATTTACTAACATAAAATTTTGGAGTAAAAAGAGTTGCTGCAGGTAGCTACTGCACCCGAACCCATTGTGTCAAATCGAAAACGAGTACCGATCTGGCTAGAAAGTGACGATCTAGAACAAGTGTCCACGCAGCTAAAGGGATTACGTAGATATTATTTTCTTTTTTTGTTTATCAATGTAGTTACATCGTATTTTCAAAGGACTTAGGGAGGAAGTTTCACTTTGATTTTGTCAAAAGGAATACAATTATTGTGTAAGAACACGGCTTATACAAGAAAAAATATCAGACACAGCTTATCAGCCTTAGCATCCTGCACGTTCTCCACTATAATTTCACTAATATCGCTATTTAACTAGCGATAAACGTTTCGAATTTATTTTTTCCGCAACTTGCGCTGAAAGTAGACTTTTGCTATGAAACAGACGCGAGTTGTACGATTATGAGCTACTGAACTTGAAGCAACGAATTTTAGCACACGCTTAATAGTTTTTGTGTTACCTGTAGCGAGGCTACCGCACTTCATATAAGTATACGAAGTTTGGTAAAACTAAAAAATGATGATATAGAACAAGGTTTTTTAATGGTAGAACGACCTTGAGCTGCATAAGAAACGAGAATGGTGGGCTAATCTGTTTGCATAATATAGGCGCTAAAATCCAAAATAGGTATCACAACAATACCAGGATCTTTTATTTCACTACGATTATTATAATGTTCCTATCGGTTGTATAATACTGATCGTCTCTGAAGCAGAAGACAGCGCATTTTGAAATGCAAATGATCATTTCATTTTACTTCCACTATCAAGATAGGTTTCTCTAGAACAGTTTTATAGAAAGCGTATAATTTAAGAGAATTAACATATAATTAGTATTCTATAAAAGAATAAATGCGATCATTCATATCTACCATTAAAATGGAAAATAAATTCAATCTGAGGGAAAGACCTTGGAGAGCACTGCACGGACAAAAAACATTATCAAGTTGATAGCTACCTAATTATATGAAGTAAAATTAGTGCATCTACTGATATACGACGACTTACTCTGCCAACCGCCTCAGAATGATCAAAGATGATTTTCTCACTGTTGTATGAAGAGTGAAAACTGAACAAGGTTGAGGATAAATTGGGAAAAAAGCTTAGTGGCGCGGTAACAAGTACAGAAATAAACGAGAAAAATTACTTAAAGCGATCTGGTTTTTTCAAGTCATGGATTATGTTTTGTCGCCATCTCGCAAAAACTCAATAGCCTCGTTCCTCTTAGCCGCTTGTTATAGTAGCGACGATCGTTAAAAGTAGACGAACTTAAGTTGTGTTGTGTCATTGTCTACAATTTACCAACATGCCATTAAACGAGCGAGGGGTACGCTTTGGAACGTGCCTATCAATAGGTAAATGCTTAAAACTTAGAGAGTTAGTATACAGATAACAAATCATAGGACAATTTAAGACAACTATGTTGCCCGAAACAAAGTCTGTATCTTCTAGCTTTATCTTACAGTAGCGTCTGAGTTCAAGAGATGCCAAAGACTGTGCTGACTCGAACACAGGTTGACGTGAAGCATAATCCCGAAAACTGAAGCACAACACCGAAAAACAGCTGCCTTATCAAAGTATATAAGAGACTAGTCTGAGGATATTAATAGATAAGGAATATGGACTGTAGACTGTGGAGTATTAAATAATACCGCTGTCGTTCTAGAAAAATTAAGGGATAAACTAAGTCATTTGTACATTTCGACCGATTATGTTAGAAGGAAGCTGATTCTTTGAAGATCTGGAACGATAGAGCATATAGTTATTATAGTAAGCAAGCAAGCCTGTATCACTTACAAACGCCCGAATGGTAATAACGGAAGAGACATTACTTGTGCGAAGAAAACAGTTGGCATACACGCTACGAACACGGACTGGACTTAAACTATTCGAAATATATCCTGACAAATTTATCCGATAATTAAGTACAAAAACATTGGCAACATTCCTCGCTAGCTTCCACATAAACCGTTACAATTAGAAAAAGGAAAGCCTCAGCAAGATAAAAATGTCACCCACCATAAAACACGGAATTGATATACTCAAGCATAGACTGTTTTCCTTTGTTGTGTAACGGGAACGAACGCCAACCGGAACAAGACGTGAATATGAAACACAACATAGCAGCTGTAAAAGTATTTTCATCTCGAAAATATTATTGAAGAAACACGTTATCTCAATCAAAGGCTTAAAGCCCGAATTACCGTTTAACTTCTTGCATTTATATTTCATT